TGTATAATTCATTTGACATCGAAAAAATGCGTACTTTAAATAGTTGAAATTTTCAACTTTGAACGTAAATATCTCGAAAACTATAAGTTCCGCGGCTATATATTCTTGATCTGGGGATCTCCTCTATCCGCCCATACCCATTTTATGCCCGAAAGCCTGGGCGGTATACTAAAATTTCCCAAATTATCATCGAGTGAGAGCAGCTAAAAGGAATTTGACGCGATTGAATTATGGACACCCCGGTTTTGACCGACCAGGGTTATTTTTTTGAGAAGGCCGCCAGTGCAGAAGGAGGTGACACGATTGAATTATAAACTATTATTTTTTGAGGCGCCAGTGGATATAAAGTGAAAAAATACAAGTGTATAATCATTTCAAATCGCAAAATACGTACTTTAAATAGTTGAAATTTTCAACTTTAACGTAAATATCCGAAAACTATAAGTTTCCCGCGGCTATATCTAAATATGTTCTTGATCTGGAGGATCTCCTCTATCGCCCATACCATTTTATCCACGAAAGCGTGGGACGTTATTCTATAGCCGACCCCGGATTTGTAATCTACGCGTAAAATAAGACGATTAAAAATCATTTTTGAGGCCTCTTAGTGGGGAACCTAAACTATACATTCCAAAAATCCTTTTTGGAGGCCTCCTTAGTGGGAACCTAAACTATACATTTACCAAAATCCTTTTGGAGGGCCTCCTTATTGGGGTACATTACCCTTATTGCATTTTCAAAATCCTATGACAATATTTTAAAGCCACCCGCGAAATTTTATAGGTGCGTTCATTCATATTTATATTCATCAAGTAGAATCGCATTTAACTTTGATACACCAATAGACGTACATACCTTATTTGGAACAACTTTCGGCATTAACAAAGGAAAACGAGCCATTTGTTCAACACTATTTAACTCACTAATATCGTTGCCTCCAAATATAGTATGAATCTAATCCATACGTTGGACATTGGGAGAAACAATATCACTATAAGTGTACGATTCCCATTTGATGATATAATAAATATAGCGTCCGAGTACTCATATCAAATCCAGTTTGTAACACCGCAATGCCCGTATGCCACATATTCACCGATTATTGAAAATTTGAAGTCAAGTTTTACTTCTCACTAATTAATACATATTTTACGAATACTTTAAGTGGCATCTCGGCACGCAAATATATTTCTTAATATTGCATTGCTAACAATATTCTAATGGAGACTGCACATTGCTTATGTTTAGCAATAGATGCTTATATATATCTTCACCAATTGCCAGCAAAGAAATATCAATTTAATGATTTGACAGAGCTGTTTTCATTTCTACAGAGTGGCAACATGATTGATGATTGATTAATTTTGAGTATGCACGCGACCTACGGTCCATTGTGCCCTCCCTAAGTCATATCGTGTCATCTAGGCCAGCATATTGATAAATTCCAAAATTCTGCTGGTGCTAGTGAGGCGATACAATCCTGTTGTGGAAACATGGATCCCAGGCCTTGATTCTGGTCTGCAGACTGCTGTGCAGTTCATCAGCAGATGTTCGGGGGTTCCGCTCTATGTCGCAGAACCGGCAGTTTGCAGAAGAGGCTATGCCATGTAAAGAGATGCTTCTTGAGCCTGCGTGGCCGGTGTAGAACGCTACCAGTAGCCGGAATTTGTTTCTGGGAGATTAATTATGGCATTGAACCGCTTGAGGTCGTAACCCCCATTAGCAGTCTGGCATGTGCATGCCCTGAGTTGTTGCAGTGTATCTCCCTGTCTGATCTTTCCTCCCTGCGGAGAACTCTTGATGGTATGTGGACCAACCGCTAAGTATGGTTCGGCCCTACCATTCTTGTAGAGGCTGCAGAGCGAGCTAAGGTGCAACTCGGTTGTGCTCAGATGGCTGTTCAGCCGTTCTATGCACTCCATCACTAGAGAGATCTGACCTCATAGGCATTGATCGCTCTTAGTGCCGACTGACTATCGCTGAGTATAGCGATACTTTATTGCGATAGTTGCGCTGGAAGATATCCTACACACGAACTTATAGCATAGACCTCGGCTGGAATATGCTAGGAAACTCTCCATGGAATGGAGAGTTGGGGCTTGGCCCAGCGACCCTGCACCAATCCTTCCTCCGTTTTAGACCCGTCGGTGTACCCTTGATGGTGCAACCCTTTAGCAGCTGGTCTAGTGCAGAGTCCTTCCACTCAATTTGCTGCCAAGGGTTACTTGAACTTCTGCTGAAGTTTACTACTTTGTATGCTATCCCTTGGGAGAAGGGCTAGTGGTATTTCCTCACTTAGCTCTTTCATCTGCTGGATGAGATACCTTCCCTTTGCCAGCTCCCTCTGCTGTCATTTGGAGCAGAGTTCGTTTGGCTGTCTTGTTTGATTACCAGGTGTAGCGGTTTGAAGTCTAGGATGACCTCTAGTGCTGCGGTCGGACACGTTCGCATTGCTCCGACGCGCAGATGCAGGCAAGTCTTTGCAGCTTCGACAGTTTAAGTCCTACCGAAGTCTGCGATGCTTTCGAACCCCCGATACCGCTCCATACGTGATAATCGGTCTCACAATCATGGTGTACATCCACCTGATAGTCCTTGGGGACCCCCAGGATTTTCCAAGTCGGTTGCACACCATGAGTGCTTTTGTAGCTTTGGTTAGGTCTGTCCACGTGCTGATTCCATCGCAGTGTGGAATCCAGCGTGAGTCCCAAGTACTTGACCGTGCTGGACATCTCAACCACTCTGCCGTCGTCCAGGGATAATCCTGAGGCCCGGCAGTGACCTCCGTCTGGTGAAGGAATGATTGTAGTTTTAGCGGGGTTGATATTAAGCCAACCCCTTACACCACCCCTTTGCAGTCCCAATCCCTCTGAACGATATCGCAGAGTATGCTTCAAATTTTCCCTAGCTAAGATAACAATGTCATCCGCATATCCTGACACGGATTCCATTGCTAGTCAGCCGCTCAAGGAGGTCGTCTACAACTAGGCTCAAGTAGGGATAGCACTCCGCTGTGGGCAAACCTCTTGTTGTACCCAGACGAATTTTAGTTTCGCCTACTGCGGCTCCGCCACCCTAGTGCGCAGTACGCTTCAATCCATCGCGCCTGGTGCTGCCACACTCCTTTTTTCAGTGCTCTTGACACGCTCTCGTGAGACGTGTTGTGAAAGCACCTTCTATGTCGAGGAAGGCGCATAGCGTCACCTCGCCCCCATCTAACGAATTCTGGATCTCTGAGGTTAGCTGGTACAGAGCAGTGTTAGTTGATCTACCTGCTCTGTAAGCATGTTGCTTCTCATGAAGCGGTGAAGCTTTCAGCACCTTCGATCGTAATTCGTGGTCTATGATCTTTTCCATACTTTTGAGTAGGAAGGAAGTAAGAACTATTGGCCTGAACGATTTCGCCAATGAGTAGTCTTTCCTCCTACTTTGGGTATGAAATCACCTTTGCGGTGCGCCATGGTTCTGGGATATATGCCAGCGCTAGGCTATCCCTCATCAGCCGAACAGGTGGGGCAGTAGCACCTGCTCCCCTGTTGCAGAAAAGCTGGAAGGATTCCATCCGCACCGGTGACTTGTATTTTCAAAGAGGCCAAGCCCACTTGATGGAGTCTGCAGGGAAGAGCTGTTTGCGACTGTCCAGTCCAAGCGTGACGGCCTTCGTTCGACCATAGAGTCGAATCTGGTCTTCATGAATCGTCTCCGGGAAATGCGCTGTAGAAGGGCCGTGGCTCTTTCTTCTGCGCGGGACGTATAGGTCCCATCAGATCGTTTGATCGCTAGTACTGTGTCCGTCTTGCCTCTAGCCAGAGCTTATGCAGTCTAGCTGCCTCTGGGGTAGAGGAGACGCTCTCACAGAACTTCCTAAGCTCTTCTGTTTCGCCGTCCTAATCTCCTTATTGTAGGTAGTTAGGCCATCTGTATTCTCCCAGTTTCGGTGCGTAGCCTTATTGAATAGCTGCGCACCGTTTTTCTCAAGTCTGAGAGTTTACTGGACACCGAGCAGTTACTGCTCTTGGCGACTGTCTTTAGGGGCAGCTGCTTTGATAGGGCTTCTGTGATGGATTGGTTTTAGGGCGACAGTCTGCTCTCCAATCCAGAAGCCGTTGCGCTTATATCCAGCTGCTCCCTACTGCTAACATTTATTTTAGCGAGTCCCTAAAGCGGCCCAGTCCGTGTTCCTAGGGTTACGCTGGAGGAGTGCCCGACACCCATCCCCAGCACGAATCTTATGATACGGTGATCCGACATGGAGGTCCGAGGACCCTCCATTGTGAATCAGCCCCATCTCAGGCTCGCTGCTGAGATGATGTCAAGCACCTCCCTTCTGGCACAGTTACAAAGGTGGTTCGCACCCACGTTTGCTATACTTAAATTATTACTAACTATAAACTCGATAAAGACTCACCCCGTGTGTTGCAGTCCGGCTGCCCATTCGATATGGTGGGCATTCGCATCGCAGCCCATGATGAGGGCAGTTTATTCCGCCTGCAGTCTCACCAGGTTGCCGATTGCCTCTGGGGTGCTATCGGAGTCTCCCCGGAAAATAGGCCGCTGCCACGACGAAGTCCGCTCCTTCGTCGTTCGTGGCTTGTAAGCGACCAGGGTCCTGTGTTAGGAACTCTGAAAGACAGAAAAATCAATATCGTTCCTAAGTACTACGCAGGTTCTGGGTCTCTCACTTGAGAGGTCCCAAATTACCTGTTTGACTTCATTTGAGGCCCTGACCTCTCCTTTTCTGACCCATGGCTCCTGGATCAGTAGTATGCCCAGACCATCGATCGTAAACCTGCTCGCGATAACCGCCGAGGCTGACGCCGCGTGGTGCAGGTTTACCTGGGCAACTTCTTATTCGCGGACCCACTACAGGATCGGCTCATGAGGAACTGGTCCTCATTCTCACCGTCCTCCGCGATGTCTCCCGCCAGGTTCGTGAGCCCCTCCAGAAGCCCTGAGTGGAGGTAGCGCCCCCCTTGCTCGCCCGTCTTCTCGGAGGACCTTCACCAATGTCTCGGCAGTTGCGCCTGCTTTGACGTGCTTGCGCAGGATGAGTGCGCAACCTCATCCACCTGCATTTTTTCCCCTGCATCGCACATGGTGGTCGGCTTAGGCCTAAATGGCCTCAGAACCACCGAGCTGAACCTGTAGTTCAGACGGAAGCTCACCTTCCTGACGAATTTGTACGATTCGTCATCTATGGAGAGGTTGAGCCTCCACCCTGAATCCTCTTCAGTGCTGCTGGTCACCCGCCATGCCGATGTATTGAGGCCATCGTTCTGGTTGCGGATGAGCCCTAGAGCAAATTCGTAAGGCTTGCCTGCGCATCTGGGGAGGAATACCGTCATGCTATGCATGGGCGGAATTTCGTCCCCCTTTTTCGCGCAGAGGATGGGTCCATTCCAGCCTGCCAGCTTGGGAGCGATCTCCCGCAGCCAACAAGCCGACCTTTCATCCTTGCAGTCTACCTGCAATATGCCTCCCTTGAAGTAGACCCCATGGAAGGAGGCTTTGTATCTAGACCCCCTGAATACCTCCTCCATGAGCAAATCTTGGAGCACGGTGAGCTCCTCCGACCCCAGCGTCTCCGCCGGGTAGTTCAGCGGCAGCACCGCCATACGAATGCCTTTGAGGGCATCCGCATACCTGCGCTGTCCCTCCGCTACCCGGGGGGGATTAGGGGCGGAGCGGTTGCCACCAGTCGCATGAGCCACGTTGCCCCTCTGCCGCTTGGTGTTGGGCGGCTCCTGTGGCGTCAGCTGTCCACTTTTTCGCTTCGCCGCTTGGGTGGTCGAGGGAGCTGCCCTTTCGCAACCTCGGCCTGCGGGCTGAGTTGCGTTTACTGGGCAGTGGCCTCGATTGTTGCCATTGCGTTTCCTAGTGGCCGCAGTA